ACAAAAAGATTCAATTAAGTTTGCCTATATAACTTGAAGTATATTTGTGACACAGTGAATTTTATATTGTAGTAACAATTTCATTTACTACTGATTAGTTGAACTACGGTAGCATGTGTATACTGCGAGATGCAATTGATTTTATCATTGTGATGCTATAAAGCCAACATAACACATGTAAAAAAACATTATGAAAATGTATTTGTAATCATTTCATTCTTTCCCATGCGAGAAGACTAATTTTATTTGGATATATTCTAATCTTCAGTTGATTTTGATTACATACTTACTTATACTTATCTAACTGATCACATCGATGTCTGTTTGTATTAATTGTTTATTGTTTTCCACTTTTACTTTGAAACAGACATCTTTCAAGTCGTATAATATAAACTATTTTACATCAACAATTATTGGTAGAAAGTATTAATTTTGTAGATAAATATACCATTGTTTATTTCTTTAAATGTATGTACTCTCTCCCGTCGAGTAAAAGCAAGAATTGGTATCTTTGACGTAACGATACAGATACAGAATGTATGAGAATGTATGAATAACACATGGTCTTCAGTGGGAAATCTAGTGACAAAATATTACCTCCCCTGTAAACACTGAAAACTAGATCTTCTCAATGTTTATCCCATTTTAGCAAGGACGCTATCATTTATGTATTCAAGGAAAAACGTTCTGGTAATTAGTAAAAATAGAAATAAGTTGAAATAAAAACAAAACGTCGACTCAATGTTATTAGTTATCAAAGGTACCAGGCTTATAACTTGATATGCCAGACGCGCGTTTCGTCTACATAAGACTCATCAGTGACGCTCAGATCAAAATAGTTAGAAAGCCATTTTCCTCCTTAAGTAGCAAACGACGAGTACAGCAGGCTATAGAAGCTTGATGCAAAATTGGTTTAAAATGTTGCTATGCGAATAAATTCCCGGAGTACCAACTTCAATTTATTTTTTTACTGTCTGTATACCTCTCTGGTACATGCTAATTTTTCGTATAGAAATACAGCTAGATCAGAGAAAGTCAGGGAAAAAATTCCAAAGGAATCGATTGATATGCAGCAAAGATTGGCACTTTTGAAATTTAGTAACTAAGCAAATTCAAACAGACCTTATCTCGATGTAAACATTGAATGTGAATAGATCGAGAAGACCGCAAATACTTGTACAAAACTCGAGACGACCTTTTCTTAAAATTGTATACAAAATATTAGAAAGATACCTGCTTTATAAAAATAGTTATCTTTTAGCAGACCGGTGTGCTCGATAACTTAGATTTGAAAAAATAAGCATACTTTGGGAAATTGTAACATGCTAAGGACTTTTTGGAACACTTCGAAAATTGGTGACCCGAAAGATCTTTGGATTTTGTATGTACATGATTTTTTCCATTTTTTTTTTATCAATATGCAGCAAAAATTGGCATTTTTTAAATTTCAGTTTCATAAGCTTCTAATGCAGTTATCTCGATAAATACTGAACATAAAACATCGTGTATTTGCATGTATATTTCTAATAACACAGTTTAACAAATTATTTCTTTAAAATGTACAATTATTATTTAGAAATAACTTTTGATCAGTATCATTACTGGTATTGTTTTATTATTGACTTTCTCGACTCTATCATAAGGAGAGTGAATTTTCTTTTGTTTTCGTTCGCTGGATATCCCACTGGTCTTCAGAGGAGAAATGCATTCACATAATGCGTTGATATAGAGCTGTGCTCTTGTAAAAGTTACATTGAATGGTTTATGACATTTATATTTTTGTTTTTAGTTAAGTTATGTATTTGTAATGTAGTCCTATGCCCGATAAGTAGTTATTACTTTTTATTATTTTCTTGTCTCATTTCTGCGTATTGACGAATGAAATTTTTAAAATGTTTTCATTTCTTACAGAATTGGGTTGATACCTCTACAGGGGGACCATAAATCCTCGAGGATATTATCAGATCAGTAGTCCGTACTTCGGTATTGACATGATTTATAACAAACCTTTCTAAAATAGTACATTAATAAATTTTTGAATTATCAAGAAACTAAGGTTTCGAGTCCCTCAGACAAAGTTGACCTTAAATAGATTTGGCTATTAGTTTTTGGTCCTTGTTATTGTCATATAGCTCTTCAACTGTTTCGTTTTTTTTTAATTTTCTCCTATACTCTTCAGTAACTTCAAAACTTTCTTTTGTATTTAGCATTGACGGTAATACCAATATTGGAGAATAATGTTCGATTCATGGTAAGATCAAGTCAAAGACTTTGAAATTGCTACAGATGTGTACATCAGAGCAAGTACATAGCATTCAAGAGTTGGGGAAATATACTGGTCGGCTCGGGTACCATATGTTCTGCAGACTGTTACCTTGTGTTATATTACGTTTAAATCCTCCCCAGTACAAAGCAGGATTTTTTATCATGTCGAATTAAAAAGGTATAGAGGTAAATACATATGCCTGTCGTTTATATGATATGTATATATGAAAAGAAAAAGTCAAGAGAATCAAATGATCATTGACACTGTACATGTAGCATGTATTCATCAATCAATCTTAAACGTGTTAACTTGTAACTTTTAAGAACTTTTGTGTTACTGGAATATCTGAAGAAATATCTTTTTCCACAAGTTGTCGAGAGTCTTTGCAATTAAGTAGTTTATATATAAGTCATAGACACTTTTTACTGTTAATGAGGGTTAGTTGACCTTAAGGTGTATTTTCTATTTTTCGTGTGTTAGGTCTATTGATAAGTATATTCAGTCCCTGTTAGTCATATCTATTTCTTTGATATCAGTTCCAGACTGTTATTCATATCTCTCTTTGCCCAAGCCTCTATTATATATCTGTTACATTTCTTTTGTGAAAGATACCCAAATTGATGCATCCTTGCCTCTATTATATATCTGTTACATTTCTTTTGCGAAAGATACCCAAATTAATGCATCCTTGCAAATTGAAATTCAAGTATCCCTTATTCATAAAAATGTTCTACATTCATCATCTGAGTCCAATGTACTATCAATAAGAACACATTAGCAAACTGATTTGGCCTTAGACTTTCTTTTTTCAGCATTTTTCGACTCTGCTTATACACATATTGTTTTTGTTCTCACGAAATAAAGAAAATGCAAAATCAAATTCAAGCAAAGGTATGATATTTCTATATAAGAAATTATAATTGTTCTTGATTTTAAGAAATATTAATGTCAAATCGTCGATTAAACATTTATAAGCAGCTTCATTTTAATGTGATTCAATATTGAAACATATATTTTAGAAGTAATTCAAAACATTTTAACGCTCATTATAAAGCCTTAAATGACATTAAAGATACCAGGCTCATAGTTAAGCACGACAAACGCAATTTAGTCTACATTAAATTAACTAGAGGTGCTTAAATCAGAACAGTTGGAATGCCAAATTAAAAACGAAGTTGATGATCATGGAAAACCAATTCTATTAGCACCGAGAGTCTAAGAGTTGAGAGTTGATTTGATCATATCATTTAATAATGTTTTATCAAATATTTCTATATACTGCTCTGTAAAATATAAATGCAACATTTGACCATATTCTACCTGGTCTTCCTTTAAAAATATACCTTAAGATCAGAGCATTTCGGATTGTTTAAAAATATTGCATATTGACCAATAATACACTCCATACTTTCTCCTTAAAGTTATTTACACTCTAAATTGGTCCCAGGTAAACCGATGTTTGCACAAAAGTAGACGAGAGATAAACAACATGGCGGATATGGACGTTGCGTCTTTACTGCAGCTTTCAGAGCTGCTGTAATTTGATATCATCAATGATTCTCAAATATATGGAACTATATTATTAAAGGGTTATTGCGCTTATATTGAGAAATGTAAATGGTATAATCATGTAAGACACGATATGAGACGAAACACGTAGAATATTTGCTGTGTTAGAAAAATAGGGAGAAAGGTATTATACTTATTTCTTGCAATTACGGGGAAAAGATACTTTCTGTTATTGTACCCCCTGTTTCCCTAATAGTGTTTGCCTGCCATTAATTGAACAACAGTTGTTATCCATTCGTTTGATGTGTTTGAGCTTTTGAATTTGCCATTTACTTAGGGACATTCTGTTTAGAATTTTCCTCGGAGTTCGGTATTTTATAATTTTACTTTTTTCCTAGCAAGAATTGAAGATCATTAACGGACAATTCTTCGTTCCATTGAGAACTTTGGGAAGATTAGAAGAGCCGACTATCTTGCTTTTGACGTTTTGATGATTAAATGCTTATTAGTTTCTTTTGTTTTCCATATACGGAAATTACAAAGAAATAGAATCATCTCCCTTTGCCAAATTATTAAAGAGAGGTGGAATATACCAAATAGATATTCAATCGCACAAGTCGATCACAAACTGATAACGTCATGTCAAAAAACTACCAAAATAAGACAGTAAACATAACATAACACAGAAAAGTAAGGATTGAGCAACACAAACTACACAAAAAATTGTGGGTGAACTCAGGTGCTCCGGATTGACGGTCATTTTGACGATGTGCGTATACAACATCTTTCATTTCATAAAGTTAATATAATTTTACCTTTCTACGATTTTATTGATATAAAACGAACCTTACACGAATATAACAGAAAAATTGATCAGAATATGCTCAAATAGGTAAGTTTCCGAATTTATGTATCTGTGAAGTTATATATTTAATATATTATGTTTTGTTTAATAAGATAAAATGTAGTTTGTGAATTTAAAAACATATCTAGGATTTTCCGTAATTAAAAAGAATGTGTTGAACTTAGGTCTAGTATTTATACCATTAATTTGCATGCCATTCTCAAAAGACACTAAGAATGTTTTAGATAGATTGCTATAAGTTGTATAATTCTTTCCAATATAATCATTTATTCTACTTCTACCAGTGAGTGATTACTAATCAGTTTGATTATTCTGTCACTTTTGTTGGTGTGCATGTCTGTTACAGTAATTTTGAAAACAGATGATGTATACCCGATGAGAAATAATAACAGGTAACGATCTATCTTTCTGCTGGACAATAGCCTATAGAATGATTAGAAAGTTTTGTCGGAGGTAACTGATTAACGTAGGCGTTCAAATTTGTTATCCTGTTACCATGGGTTAAGCAATAAAGATAAAAGCATAAAAAAGTATTAGCTGAAAACATTATTTTTGCAAACGGCAATTATTTATATCAATAAAGATAAGGCATACACAAGCGAGGTATTTTAAAACTATGCTTTTTTGTCAAATTCATATAAAGTGTGTGTAACGGTTTATTAAGTTCGATTGATTTTTTTAGCATGAGAAGTACTTCGATGCTGGCTGTTGCGTCAAAAGAAATTATAAGTAAGTATGTTTAAATTATGTTTCGTGCAAATAAGAAAATCTAGTATCTTGCAATACCACTATTTCATTTTTTGTCTTCCCTTCCTTAATTTCTGAACATTGATGTGATTGGTAGGTTATATATAAGGCAAAGTTAAATAAATGGGTCATGTCATACATTTTTATATGATTTTTTTTATACAACTGTGTATTGTGAACTAGAGCTAAACATTCGTTTAAAATATTGATAAAAGAAATCCTGCAAGATAAATGTATTTTCGTATAGAAATCACGTAAAATCGACAAGAAACGTTATTTCAATTGTCTTAAGATCATTAAATCTCCATAAACAGTTGAATAGATTTTTTCTCAAAAATTGATATGTTGTTGCTACATAAATTTCTTTTGCGTTCATATAAGATAATAAAACGACCACCAACTTCGTTTAAATGTATTAACACAGGTGTTGCAGTGTTGTGAAAAAAGTCGATATACTTTGACCAATTGGCCTACAGTACCCTAAGACAATTGAAGAACGTTTTTCATCGATTTTACGTGCTTTCTATACACACTCGATTATATTTTAAAAAAGAAAGAAGTTTTTAAAATTGATTCTGAAATAGTTTTAGATACATTTTATGTATATATTATACTAATGTTGAACTTATTTAATGATTTCCATTCAATAATCTAATTATTAAGATGATTTAAGCTCCCTCAGGCACAGTTGACCTTAGATGGATTTGGTTTTCATATTTAGGTCCTTTTTGGTCATAAAGCTCTTCAACTGTTCCGGTTCTTAAACTTCCTTGGCTTTCAAATGTTCGGCTTTTAGCATTTTTGATGAAGATTAATCCAGGAAAGCGCTTCAGACGCACACAATTTATCAAGTGTTGTTTTCATTTTTTATAACACTGGGTCGATACCGCTTCTGGAGGACAATTAGTCCTCGAGTGAATCATCAGCTCAGTAGTCAGTATTTCATTATGATGAATGATAAACCTTTCTTAAATTGTCTGTTTCTAAATCTAGAAATTATCAAGAAACTTAGTTTTCAACCCCCTCAGGCAAAGTTGAGCTATGATTGGTTCGGCTATTTTTTGTATGTCCTTTTTGGTCATATAGCTCTTCGACGGTTTCGGTTCTTTTACACCCTTTGCTTTCAAATATTTTGCTTTGAGCGTTCATGATGAAGTTTAAATTAGAAAAGCGCGTCGGACGCATAAATTTATCAAGTGTTATTTTTTGATAATATTTTAGGAAGTTTAACCGAAAAAAATGATAATTTTTCCAGTTTTTAGTTATAGTTCAGGTGTAAACTTTATCAAAATATGTGAGCTAGCCCGTGAACTATTCCTTAACCTTAACTGAATTCAAATTTGTTAGAATTAATTTTTTGGTCATTTATGATGCATCTATCTTTAGTATTGGTCTTTATGACGTAATGCACTAATTTGAATGAGAACAATACAGACATTCATTAAATTGCAGAGACGAAGTGAAATTCTATCTCAGCATTCATTACATTCTTAAATTAAATATATATGTGTACTTCTTTTAAGAATTAGAAGAACACGTGAGTCGAGAAGAGACTCAATCTATTGAATATTCCAACAATCTAAACAGTGCTACCAAGCAGATTTCAGCCTTAATGGTGAACACCAGTATAGAGTTATCACACTGGTAGATAATCTACAGAATACGACAGCCTTTGGAGGAGACAATAGTAAAGAGAGTTCTATTGAAATGTCAAATAGTAATGAATGTTGTATACGTTCATTAGATGTACAAGACAATGAAGTACCGGGAGTGATAGGTAATTTACCATGCACGGAAAATAGTGAAGCATCAGGTGAAGATAATACCCAATGTAAATCAGAGAACGAATTTTGTAGCGTTGGCAATTCTATCCACAATCACCCCTCACATAGTTTGGACGAGACGACAGTGCCACCATCACTGACTCATAATACAGTAAATGGTAATGCATCCAATATGATACCTTACGAGCCTATTAGTGAACAAAGCGATACAAAATTCTTAAAAGAATTGGAAAGCAATAGTGATAATGTGAAAGTTCAACATGCTTCAACTTCAACAAATAAATATCGGATTAACAACAGTGGAGATGAAAATATTCAAGATGAAAACGAAATTGATCAGGAAAACTCATTATATACATCAAATAAGGAAACCAGCGATGGGCTTTCGTCTGAAATGAAAAAGTGTAATGAACCAAAATTACAAATCAAGATTCATAAAAACGAGTCTGGCTATAAAAGTAAAACTAGGATTTCACAAAACGACAACCGAGTTACCTATATCAATAAGGACAATATTGGGAAGACAATTGATTATAGCTATTTTATAAGGAACTTTCAGAGAGAAGAATCGATTGTACCAAATGTAAAATCGACAAAAAGCATGACAGATGCTATAAAAGCAAAGATGAAGTCAGCAACATCGAGACAAGAAGGGGACATATATGAGGAAGGCATGTAGTATAAAACTAACAAAGCAGAAATGTTTTCGTGTTGATATGTATAAATTGTTTTCAGCATGTAGAAGCTCGAAAATTATTTATAAACGCTAATTTCTTACGAATTCTATTTAAAAAAAACCCGTAATTTCAAATATCAAATCTTCGAAAAAAAGTGTTGGATGTCTCGTTTTCTTAATAAAATAAATGTGCTTATTAAATATATTTGAAGGTCTTTTCGATGCTGACCAACCCAAAACGTTTAGAGAATGGTATCAGTATACCGAACAAATAAAAGCCTATGGTAAGTATTTTGACAACAAATTACTAACTCGTTGAAGATGTATCTGTGTTAAGAGATTAAGAGAGATTAGAGGAAAGAATAACTTAATTGACAATCTAGATGAAAAATCAATAAATTTCAAATTTAGTAAAAATAAAATAATACTTGTATCTTTATATTTACCAAAAGATTGAAGGGCTAGATGTCAATGAGACAGTATTCAAAACTACGATTTGATTAAACTAAAACATGCATGTTAAGGTTTCTTTTTGAAATGGACATTTGTATATAGCAAGCTCTTCTGTTCAAAACTAGTTGAATTCATATTGCAAAAGAACTACCTCACTAAGATAATAAAAAAAACAACACACACTGAGATTTAAAAAAAGGCACTGAGATTATTAATAATTAAACTCTAACATTGAGGTAAAAAGAATCAAGAACCTAAACTGAGAATACAAATTACACATAGTGATTTAATAAAAGGAACAGTGAGATTCATTACAAACTAAGAATTTTAGAATTACACAGTTAGAATCGAAAATGACTCACTGAGAACAAAACTTAAGCACTGAGATTAAAAAATGAAAAACACGCCTTAAAAATGAAAAATCATACTCAAATGTGTGCGCCCATTTGATGCTTATATACATGTACATAATTAGCAAATATAGGAAACGTTTGTATATGTATATGAAGTTAACTTCGGTACGCATAGGTATATAATAGCTAGGTATTTAACAATCGTTTAAAGTAAGAAAAAAATAATCTAACCAAATGTGACCCTTTGTAACCAGAGTTCAAACACACTTCAAGTTAACTTTCTATCCATAAATGATTAATCACAACAACACTTAATTTTGTTTCATTTATTCGAATTTTAAATGCACTAGCTAGTTATTGATTAATTACTCATTAACTATAGAACGCCACAGCTGTCTTATGTGGAACTCTGATATTACGTTATGTTGTTTTATCATAACTTGATGATATTTTGTCTTTACATAATATTGTTTTGACATTACGTACATGTAATGATGTTTTGATATAACTCAATATGGAATAGTCATTACTTAATAATATTTCGATATTACACGATATGGTTTCGTATTGAATTGATATAGTTTTGTCTTTACTTAATATGGTTTTGTCATCACTCGATGTGGTTTCACCATTATTTAATGTGGTTTTGTCATTAGGCAATGTGGTTTTAACATTACTTGATGTGTATGTGACTTTACGTAATGTATTTGTTTCATTACATGATGTGGTTTTATTATTTCGTAATGATGATTTGCTAATTCTTTATATGGCTTTAACGTTAAGTAATGATGTTTCAAAATTTGACGATTTTACACTACATGATGTGTTTGTTTCAGTATTTGATGTGGTCCTGTCATTCTTTGGTGTGGTTATCACATTACTTGATGAGGTAAAACCACGTGACCAATTCGGTTATATAAATAAGATGTGGTATGATTGCTAATGAGACAAGTCTCTGACAGAGACCAAATGATCAATAAAAAATTAACAACAATAGGTCACCCTACGGCCTTCAACAATGAGCAAATCCCATACTGCATAGTCAGTTATGAAAGGCCCCGAAATGACAATTGTAAAACAATGCAGCCGATTAAACTAAATGCCTGATTTACGTAAAAAACAATGAACGAAAAAACAAATATGATATACAGCAACAAACAACAATCATTAAATTACAGGCTTCTGACTTAGGACAGGCACATACAGAATGTGGCGGGATTTAACATGTCTCCTCACCTGGGACAGTGCACGTGATGTAACAGCACAACATATGAATTCGAACAAACTATAAAAATCAGTCGAAAGGGCTTAACTCATCAGATCTCTATAAAACAGAAAAACAAATAACAAAAACACAGACCGGACGTGGCAGGGTATTTATACATCCCCACAACAAAAAAGACACTAAGTACAGATCTGAAAGTACTTGCAGTTACTGACAGCTAGTTCAAAGCAACTAACAACTAATAAAAAAATCATGTACCTAGGACTAAAGTATCAATCTTTATAGGTCACCGTACGGCCTTCATCAATGAGCAAGACAAATACCGTATAGCAAGCAATAAAACGCACCAATGTAATCATAAGTCTTCATAAAAAATGTCACACTCATAACATAAATATTTTGGCTGTTAAGCGTATACCCACGGACAACCTTAAATGGTTATAACATAAAATCACACAGTCAATTGGACTTTCAACTCTTATTTTTCAAACATTAAAAATATCATAATATGAACTCATTTTATAGATACTCTGGTCAATAGGCACATCATAGTGTGGAGTGGAATATCAACCCATTGTCAACAAATCAAAATTAAATAAACTGAAATTTCATAGATCTATTTGGGATAATGTTCATTAGAAAAAAACGTCAAAAGAAAAGAAAAAGAAAAAAGAAAATTAGCCAGATCTTTATATTGGAAGATGCAGTCAAAAGGGAATAAGAAGAATGGCCAAAAAAACCTACATGTATGGCAAACAATTCCTGAGATGAAGTTTAAATCATAGTTTGTGTTTGAAGTTATATTTATCAGCTGTAAATTAAAAAATTCGTAAGGGTTCCGCGGAACCCAGTTTCTCGCCTACTTTTGCTGTTGTCTATGTTTTCAGTGTGATAGGGGAACACACATAATAGATTTACAGTTAAAGAAATAAAACGTTTGAAATGTATGAAAAAAGTTATGCTTGTAAAAAATAAATACAGTATGCAATCAAATCTAAAGATTTATAAAAGAGTTGAAACATAAATTTATTGAATAAACAAATGATAAAGAAGATAATTTTTAAATAAGTTTGCTAAAAATCCAGGATGGTTTATGAATCTAATAAATGTTTTAAAATCTTTAACTGCAGACTATGTAATGTTAAGTGGAAGAAAAACTAAGTCCATTTATAAGTAATATACGGAAAAACAGGAAATAAGTTTTTACAAAATTTCCTTTTAGATACTAGCTTTTGATCATAAACAAGCTTCTGTGTAAGTTTGGTACAAATCCAGGATAGTTTAAGAAAGTTATTAAAATTTTAACAACTTTAACCACAGAGTGAATGTAATGTTTACTGGCAGAAAAGCTAAGTCCATTTCTAAGTAAAATACCGATGAACAGGATTTTTTTTTTTGCAAAATTTACCTCTGGATACTATCTTATGATCATAAACAAGCTTTTGTCCAAGTTTAGTAGAAATCCAGGATAGTTTAAGAAAGTTATTAAAATTTTAAAAACTTTAACCACAGAGTGAATGTAATGTTAACTGGCAGAAAAACTAAGTCCATTTATAAGTAAAATACGGATAAACAAGATTTTTTTTACACAATTTACTTCTAGATACTTTCTTATGATCATAAACAAGTATCATTCCAAGTTTGGTAGAAATCCAGGATAGTTTAAGAAAGTTATTAAAATTTAAAAAAACTTTAACCACAGAGTGAATATTTGTGGACGCCGCCGCCGCCGCCGCCGCCGCCGCCGCCGACGACGGAATGTAGAATCGCTATGTCTCGCCTTTGCGACAAGAGTCGCAAACTCGACAAAAACCTTATGAAATGAATTATAATGAGTTTTTAAAAACAAAAAATCTATCAACATGCTTAGTGCATTTGGAAATTATCGTTGGTCAAAAAAACATTATGAATTTACTGTATTTAACCTTGAAATTTACATGGATAAAAATATTTATGACAATTTTAGCTTCAGCTAGAGTAAAATCAGGAGCAGTTAAACTGAGAAGAGAGCATGATAATATTTTGGTATTAGATATATCTGAACGTATGGCAGAGTATTTTCAACAGATGAAATCAGCTGCTCTACAGTATGTGTATGGTGAGTTAAAATATAAAATCAAAGGTAAGATTCAGTTAAATCAAACCCTTGCCGAATTAAAAAAGAAAGAAAAAAGTATAAACAAATAATATTAAGAATGAAAAATCGAATACTGCACAACAATGATGAAATAGCAAATTGTAAATTCATGATTTATGTAATCATAATGGATATATAACTTGTTTATGCTAGCAGAGTTCAGTCATATTTTATTCTTTGTATGAAGCAACATATAGAGATAAAAAAGTATAACAAAAATCAAAAAGGGGAAGTTCATAAACACTGACAAAATCAAACTCTATCAATCAACGGAACAGAGGTGAAAAACAACTACCATATACCATATACCTGAGTCGGTTCTTTCATTTTCCGATTATAGCAAGGAATTAGAGATTTTCATAAAACAGCTGAACTAAAAAATTTCTTTCCATTGCAAAATACAATGAACAATTATCTACAGGAATTAAAGAAATCGCAGAATGTGGCGGGAATGAAAATGGTATTGGTTTAGCAGTATTTGGACGACAAACCCGACTTATTCAAGAAGCAACGATTGATTTTGAATTAATCATAGAATTGATAAGTAAAAATATTATATCTTTTTTTCATCTTAATGATCAATTTTTAGTTTTAAACTATTGAAAGTAAGTCACACAATTAGCTAAAGTATACATTGACTTGGTGCTAATGTTCAGAAAAGTAGTTTGATAAACGGATTTTTCCATTAAGAATAAAATAAAATAGTTGTTAACAAAATGATATTACTTTTCATATTGGAGTTTTTTATTCATAATGTTTCGTTTATTCCTTCGATAAAAAGTGACAAAATGTATGTTGTTGAATAGTTACGAGGAGAAAGCTACAATAAACAAGTTTCAATATCATAACAAAAAATGTTAAAAGACAAAAAAAAATAAAAAAACCAAGACAGTCACTGAAAAATTCCGTAACTTATTTTCTAATTTTTGTTGCTAAAGATGTAAATAATTCAATATACGTAAGATTTTTATATCAACTCAAGTTTTTTTAAAGGACAATTACGACCGGATGGAGATGCTTCTATCATTGCGGGACTTTTGATGGGTTATGCTGGTGTTTCTGCATGTAAGTACAATTTGATTTTGTTCTCTTATGGTTTGCAATTTAAATTTGAAGTCGGTTTCCAGGAAATAAACTGGACTCGCAATTGTAGTATATTAATCACAAATTAAGAAAAACTATAAACCAAATGAATTCACAGACCAATATAAGGTAATGAAAGGTGCTGCATAAAAGACTGATCTAAACTTTTCTTTGATTTTTTACCACAAATAGATATACTTTTTGTTGACCTTTAACAGTAATTATTGAGACAGTTTTATAACACTGGCAATTTATTCAGTTTGATATAATATAATATTAAATATACATCATGTTGTAGTGTTGTTAAAACTGAACTGCCAAATAACAAATGGAAAAATGATTCAAATGTTTTCCTATCAATATTTCTTTGCACATATTTTAAAAACGGGTATTGCAGTTAAATGTGTTTAATTGCGTGATTCAGTACAAAATCGATGTCTCTTTTATAAAATTTAAAAGAATGCAATCTTTCTATACTGTACGATATTAGGTTTTCTCACCCTTGAAGGCCGTACGGTGACCTATAGTTGCTCACATTCACTTCATCTAGCTCTGGTGGGTAGTTGTCTTATTAGCAATCATACCACATCTCCTTATCTTTATATTTCTGTTTATAATTGGTATTTGCAACACGGAGGGTACAACCAGTGATGCAAGAACTTCTAACTCTTTTACAGCATCTGAGTTTATCCTGGTTTGTTTGGATAGGTTATGTTGCTCAATCTGTAGTTTACTATGTATTGTTTTCTTTCTCTTGTATTTCTATTTTGTATTCACTTTTGACGTATGACTGGATTTGGATAAAATAACAATGCTCTATTCGAAACAGAAATTTCAGAATATTCCGGAAAAGCTTAAAGCACTTTCGATCAGCGTTTTTTAGAGTTTTTTTGTTTTGATTTGTTATTTTAACATCTTTTACTTCAATTTTAACATCAATGATTTTCTGGTCTGCATTTCTGAGGTAATGGAGACATCCGTTTGAAGAACATGATTCGTTCCCGACTGTTTAAGTTTGGCTGCTCATTTCAGGCGCCCACAGATAGTCCCGAAATCAAAGAACACATAAAAAAAGTTCTAATATATACAAGTAAAATTATATACATGGGATTCCAGTTTAGCAAAGTTTGGCTAAAACCAAGGTTAGACCCAAACTCCTCGATGGTGACAGCAGCTACCGTGATTGCTGGTAAAAAGTTCCAACCTTGGACTTTTCTTGAGAGGAATGAGTTTCGCTATGTTGCATTATTTGTCCCTCTTTGGTCAGGTGGTGTTGTTCTATAGTCCTGCTGACAAATAACTCTCCATGAGATATATCGATATTTCATGAACATAATTGAGGTAGATTATATTTTATGTACTGTATCATTTACTTACAGGTAAAGTAAGCAGAATACAAGATGTTGTTATACGGGCACATATGATTGTTTTCACTAATGGATCGTCAGACCAATGTTCATTTTCAGCAGAAAGTAAAAAAACTGCATCAATAAATGATAAAGTAAGTATATATAGGTTATATCTATTTACTTCAATGTAATAGCTATTTTCTTGAAAAACGTGATTTTGATATTTAAGCTATATCATACTTTGACTAATCACCTACATCGTATTAGTTTGTTTATTTGTTAATGCATGACCCAGACAACTCTCATGTTTGTAAAGAAATGTGTGTTAGCGATAGAGACATTACATCTTATGAATAGTCTCCGTTGCGTTTCAGACTGGAAGACAGTGGTATATTTTTGAAAAACTGCGAATTATTTTGTAAGAAAAATATGATATAGTCCTACTCCAAAAATGTAGCTTATCATGCTTATGGTACAGTTTAAGTTCTTGTCAATGATCTTAGGAAAGTGAATCTATTTTAATCTTTTTTGTATAATGAGATTTGGATTTTCTTGCGGTCATCTTCATATTCATTTTGACAATCTTTAAACTTCTGGAATCTATATTTATTTATTTCTGTTATTTCAGGTATCAACCGACATTGATTGTATTATTGACGAGATAACTTCTACCACTACAAAAATATTTTATGTTCCTATTGGTGGAGATCAGTGCAACAGTGTTACAATGTAGTACTATTTAGTAGTAGTTTTGTTATTGAAAAAGATCTCCATGTTAATGTTATTGCTACCACTGGGTCGATACCTCTGCTAGTGAACTGTAAGACCGCGATTCTCTACATCCGGCTTTGTCTATACTTTTTTGTCCTTTTTGTTTTATAAGCTCTTCCTTTTTTTTGGGTTTTTGAATTTTGCTTTAAAAAAGTCATCCAAAGTCAGTAAAGTTATTACATCAATTCTTAATCTTATGGTATTGATAATATATCTTTCAAGTTTTCAAATATAAGCTAAATAGTTTTTTTTTTACTAGGAAGGCTTTTAGCGACTTAGTGTTTTCTATGAACCATCCTAAGACGGAATTACTCATAAGTTATGTTGTGTTAAAGTTCGCATTGCAATTAAAGATATTCATAATGTCTAGTTTTTGATTTGACAATGACATTTTTATAGGAAATAATGGACTTAATATACAATCCTTTCTTGAACTTATACGCTATCCAAGTTTCCAGACACTTTTACAAATTCGGACATACCAAAACTTGAAGATAATGTCAACATGTTTGTCGCAATGACAATTTTTTTTATTTGATTCCAAATCATTAGGTTTATTACCTAAATCTTTAAGTTGTGGAATATTTTCAATGGCAAGTTTTGAGTGAACTTAAAGATGACGAAAGAGATAGGAGAGAAGTCGAAAAAGCGGCTTACATATCGTAAGATAGTGTCATAATAAAACACTTTAACTTGTCAATTATATTCTGCTTATTTAAGATAAATAACTTATATTTTTTTTCAGATTTAGAAATCCCATTTCCTTTTTTTCAGATTTTAAAATACACAAATATTTTTTTTTAGATTTTAAAACAAGTTGTAAGAAAAACAAACGGAAAAACTATACCAGACAATGAAATGAATCGCTTGATCAGAATGTCTCGAGTGATGGTAAGAATAATTGTCATTATATAATATACAATGTAGCTTGTTTTAGTTTTCATTCATACTTTGAAAAAATGGAGTTTTTTTTTATCTTTCTTTCCCCAAAACTGTGAAAAAAGTATGGATTGAGGTTTTCTTTACGGACTACAAGTTGTGCAAGATTTTCATACCATCTTTATAAGAATGTTATTAGAATTGAAATTAAAAAAGAATTTGTTATGGCTTTGAATTGGCTCCAAGTACTGTCGAATCTGTACTTTGTCTTTTATTGTGTTTCGTATCGAGCTGAGGAGTTAACTTCTTTTGTATTTGTTTTTCGTTTATTGTTTGTACATAAATCAGGCCGTTACATTATTTATTACGAATTATATCATGGATACAAATTGACCCCAATCAATATCGATAATTTAAATTAACCTTACCCTTACCCCAAACAGCAGTCATGCTTTTTTATTTTGTCTGCTGATGTTCATTTAAATTACGCGGTAATAAAAGAAATTTGCATTTTCGTGAAAAAATTGATAACTCCATATTAAAAGTCTAAACAAAACTAAACACACAAGACTTTACCTCATTTAGAGGCTGTTTTTTTTTCATACAGAAAGCAAAATATGATTGAAACATTGCTGTTTTCGTTGGGTGATTGTTTTCAAACTTGAAATATTAATTATTTTATATTACAGCAACTGGCAGTAAATATATCATCAGATATACGATATTTAAAGAATCAAAGCAGAGATGATATCAAAAAGATAATATCAAACCTATCAAATGTTCCCGATACACACGTAAGATATAATTGTGCATAGGATTTTACCATAATCAATCGCACAAGTCTCTTTCATATCGAACGGTTTTCACATTCCTTAAAACAAGCCAAATTACGATAACAAAGAAGTTAAATTAATGCAATTGCTTAAAACCATGATATAAACCCTGATCAACTTGTTTAAAAGAAAATATTTGATATCTCTAAAATGTATTTTTATAAATATGATTTCGACGAGTGATAAAAAAACTGAAACTCATGCTTCGATCATTATAGTTTTGTTGTTATTTTTTATTCACTGTGACTTCAAACCACAGAATATACTTCTGTGTTATCCTAAAATGCCATTAGCATTTGACAAAAAGTCGCCATTTTACTCTTAGTATTTAGCAAAATGAGCCAAAGCTTTACCAAAATATTTTACCCACATTAACATTGCTGTATCATTCATCTTCTGGCTAATGAACTATAATCGAAATATCCATGACAAGATCTCAAAGTGAGGCACTTATGACAGTTTTGCAGTCTTGTAATACACGAAAGACGCATGAAGCCACGAAGAAAACGTGAACGACAAATTAAAAATATATTTATATTGAAATCTAGCAAAATAATGTTTTATCAACATCTAATGGATGTTATCAGATATATTCATATACTGTGGATTCTTTTTTATCTTTAACTAGTAACTTTTTTCATTTTTGAATTCATGTGGTAAAACAATTGGACTCATTTATATACAACTTTCAACAGTATATCACATTTGACTTTTCAACATTTTACATAAAAAAATTCCAATTCCAAACTTAAAGAGAAATTGAAAGAATGGTACAATATTGTTGCATAAAAAAAATGTCCAATGTAGCTACAAATATCTTGTTTTACAGGGGTATACATCTAACTTGGTAAAACAATATTCTGATTCAAACAAAAAGTTCCCTTGAACTGATATTGTCAAGATGCCTGATTTCTTGTTCGATTACATATTTTTTATTAAATTTTGATGTCGTGTTTTTCAAAAAAAGATCAACATTCCTATGAGAAAAAACTATTCTTCTCTACCTTTGACATTTGCCTTTATTCCTATGAGAGACTTCATACAGGCGCTTCTTATAAAGAATGAAAAGAAGCTAGCATTATCCTTTAACTTTACGTTCCGCTATATCGATTATATCCTATCACTAAATAATTCAAAGTTTGGTGATTATGTTGAAAGCATTTATCCCAACGATCTTGAAATAACGTATCCAAAATGTGAACTTTCTATTTCTATGTATCAGCGCCTTCTTTTGGAGTATAGATCTCCCAGTTAATAAGATATTCCAGAACTTGTGTTTCTTATCTTGATTTCCTTGGAAGAGGGTTATTGTTCACATGGAAGCCAATTAACCAAGGGTTACAAGTGGCAAAGTAGAATTCTCCCGCTTTATAAATCTAAAGGAAGCCACCAAGGGTAGGTTGGCCGTTATAAATTATCTGTTACATAAATGACGACGAATATCTTCAACAGTCGTCACCACATGACCATCCTTTTATTCTCTAATGTGACATCACCGAATTAAACTTACCAACGAAATTGTATTAACATGAGGAGCACGACGGGTGTCACATGTGAAGCAATATCTTCTTAATATTCTGGAGCATCTAAGAATACACCCGGTTGTTGGTAGGGTTCGTGTTGCTCAGTCTTAATTTGCTTTGTATTGTTTTATAGACTGTCGTCATTTTGTCGTTTTTCGTTCTTTTGTCATAGAATTGTCCGTTTGTTTTTGAGCAATGAGTTTGAATAAAATTGAGAATGGAAATGCGGAATATGTCAAAAAGACAACAACCCGACCAAAGATCAGAAAACAGCCGAAGGCCACCAATGGGTCTTCAACACAGCAAGAAAATCCCACACCTGGAGGCGGGCTTCAGTTGGCCCCTAAATAAAAAAGTGTACTAGTTGAATGTTCCTTTGATATGATCCACCTCTCTTTTATGCCTTCTCCTGTGGTGTCACAATGGTAGAAAGTATTGTCCTCTTTTTCGAAATTGTTATTAAAATCAGGCAGGACATTTGTGAAATTTTGTCGCTGCACTTTCAATTTAGTGTTTTAAATTTCATTCTAGACAGTTCTTGAAACGAAATTAGTTGTTAGAATAAGCATCAAATGAGAAAATTTGAACGGCTTGTAAAATGTTATATTGTTTGCCTAAAACATAAAGGTTTAAACATTTACGTTTTCCCTCAAAATAACAAATTATTGCAATGGAAATATTAGTCTTTAAGATCCTTAACTTTGTTTTTTTTTCTTTATTTTAAAATAGCTGCATTTCAATAAGTGAATCTTGTTCACTTTGAAAGGAAGGGGAACATTTTAAAACAAAATTGTAAAACTTTATTACAAAAACTTAAACACTATTAAAAGACACAATTAAGCCTGTAACTCAGTGGTTGTCGTTTGTTGATGTGTTACATATTTGTTTTTCGTTCATTTTTTGGTACATAAATTAAACCGTTAGTTTTCTCGTTTGAATTATTTTACATTTGTCATTTCGGGGCCTTTTATAGCTGACTATGCGGTATGGGCTTTGCTCATTGTTGAAGGCCTTACGGTGACCTATAATTGTCAATTGTGTCATTTAGTCTCTTGTGAAGAGTTTTCTCATTGGCAATCATACCTCATCTTCTTTTTTATACACACTACAACACCACCCGTGCAAATCACCACTTTCATATGAAATCGACATAATTGCGAACATACCCTTGCTTGTTAAATTTCAAAGAAGATAAAATACAAATTTTCGATAAAATTGTAGAAATTGAAACACTAACTGAACATGATAATTCTTTTTAAGGATGACTGTCTAGATATGGTGCAAGATTTCAGCAACCCTATAAAGTATTTTAATAATCAAGGTCTATATACAGATATAAAACGTAACACACTTAAACTAGGAGATAGAGTAAGACGAGGACCGGATTGGACTAACGATGATCAAGATTTAGGTCTTCCAGGAACAGTTATTGGACAGAAACGAGACAGTATGCATTTATGTCTGTGTTGTTTTTATTTTGTTTACCCTTGTATTTATATTGTACTTAATTTGTAATTTATCGGGAAACATATTATATTAGTACGGTAATATGTTTGTATTTACTGTATGTCCTTTCAACTACAAAAACATGTGTTGGCTATCAACTGCAATAACTTTTTGTTGGCTGCTTTGTCATATTTATGTGTATATTTTGTTTGAACTTTTTAGTCAGTTGTGTTGTATGTCTGTGATGTGATTAACACAGTTTTGGTTGTTAAATCCAAATTATTGTAACATCATATTTATGTGTTTTGTTAACTTATCCAAATTTGTCAATATAACGGAACTATAAACAACTGTCATACTATTGGGAGGTTCAACTAGTTATAAAACAAGGTTTAATCAACCATTTTCTTTGGAAAATACCTGTGCCGAGTCCTGAATATGACAGCTGTTTTCCATTCGTTCCGTTGGTTCCAATAGTCTAACGTTTGATTTTGTCAGGTTTTATGGATTTTTTTTGAAATTTACCTTGGATTTCGGTATTTTGTTAATTTTTTTTTCTTAGAGATTGACAACATAAGTACATGCATACATGAACACGTATACATACGCACAAACATACATACACGTACAAAATGCGAAAGCTTTTCTTTTGACAGGAAAACTTTAAAAATAATTTAAACATTAATTTTATTAGTTTGAATATTTGTTATTACTACCACTGGTTCGATACCTCTGCTGGGGGACGTTTAGTCTCCGATGGTATCACTAGCCAAGTAGCCAGTATTTATGACATTGTGTTATTGAAATTTGCTGTTACAAAATTTCGAAAATTATTTTATATTAAGAAATTTATCTCCTTCATGCAAAAAGCTCAGATTCCTTGCCATACTTTGGCTATACTGTTTTTCCTATTTGGTTTATGAGCTCTTCATATTTTAAATAACTTCTGATTTTCAAATACTTTGGTCCCGAGGATCACTGAATAGAAGAGACATTTATTGTCGAAATACGTATCTGGTGTAGAAAAATTGGTACCATGAATGTTATTTTTAACTGAAAATAAACTATTTTAAGCGGAAATAAGCTGATCTTCAAAGTTATCGCTTGTAAAAAATAAAAAATTATTAGAATTTCTGTATATTTTATTAAATTTTATTAAATTCGGTTATTATCTGTTTATAGGTTATCTCATAAATTCATCTAGTTTTATATTCATTTGAGACATTACTTATTTTCCAGACTGGTCTTTAACAAAAGAGTGCGTTCTAGTTGAATGGGACCATGGAAGAATATTTTCATATTTGTATGATGAACAGAAGAATAAATTCAAAATAAAAAAAGTTAATGAACCTAGAATTCTTGCCAATGAGATGATAGCAGTAGGTTGTAGAGTTGTCAGAGGTGAATAGAATAATGCAATAATACCAATTTCTAACGAAAACTTATCCAGTACTCTATCATTCAAGTGTTTTGATGACTTATTTTCTATTTAACTATTAAGGAAAGAAAAAATAAATTTTCTTTTAATTTAATAAGCTGGAATTGAAATGTTTTGATCCATGCAGAAAGTAGTAACTCAATTTATATATAGGACTAGACTGGAAATATGGAGACCATGATGGAGGTATAGGAACGTTAGGAACAGTATTGGATCTGAGTACAGAAAGGACAGTAGTTGTGAGTTTTGTGCAACAATGATATCACTTCCTTTTAACATAATCTTGCATGCCTATTTTGTAATAATTTAGAATGTACATACATCAATAACATGTATTTATAACAAACTAAGAGAAGAAACATCAATCTAAAGCACCCGAGTTCGCCCCCGTTTGTTTTTGTTTGAGTTCGTGTTGCTGAATCTTATAACTTTATCACATGGACTTGTATATTATAGTTTGAGCCGTTATTTCGATATAAGCTAAAATAACCCAATGCCAAATGTTAAAGTTTATGGTATATGAAATCCCTAAATAGTCGAGATATCATCATATTAAGATTAGATTGGTTTTGCGAGTCTTTGTATTTCTAGTTTCGCGTGCATAGTGTAACAGTGGGAAATCTAGTGTCAAAATATTACCTCCCAAGTAAACACTGAAAACTTGTTCTTTTAATGTTTGTTCCGTTTAAACAAGGACGCTATTAATTATAGAAAAACGTTATTGTTAATAGTAACCATAAACATAAATTGAAATAAAATCAGATTTTCCATATAATGTTATCCTCTCCCCCCTAAAACAGTAAACGACAAGTGTACAGCAGGCTATAAGAGCTTTGTGTATAATTGGTTTAAAATGATGCTGTGCGAATAAATTCCTGGAGTACCAACTTCAATTTTGTATCCTACTGGAATATGCCAATTATTCGTATAAGGGAAGGGGAAAGGAATCAATTGATATGCATCAAAGATTAACACTTTTAAAATCAAGCTTAAGTTACTCGGCAAATTCAAATGGACCTCTAAGTAATCCCCTATGAGACATTGAATGTGAATAGATCGACAAGACCGCAAATACATGTACAGTAATCGAGGCGACCTTTCTTAAAATTTACCAAAAAAAATAGTAACATTGTTTTAACGGATAACCTGCTTTGTAAACGCATTAATCTTTAATTTTATATTTGAACCTTTTAAATTGTTATATGCACGAAAAGATATTATTTCTATATTGAAAGTTCATGTGACAATAGCAGACCGGTGTATGCGAAAACTTAAGATGTGAAAAACAGGTATATTTTGTAAATTGGTTTTATCTTCTAACAATAATGGGGAACACTCATGTATTGTATGTACATGATTTTTTCATTTTTTTTCCCATATCAATATTCAGCAAAGATTAATATGTTTTTAAGTTTCAGTTTCACAAGCCTCTAATGCAATTATGATAAAAAATGAAAATTAAACATTGAATGTGTATTTGCATGTTTATTTCTAAAAACACAGTTTAACAAAAAATTTCTTTAAAATGTACGATTGTACTTAATATATAACGTTTGATCAGTACCGCCAACGGCATTGTTTTACTTTAGATTTTCTCGACTTTTTCATAAGAAAAAATAATTTTCTATTGTTCTCGGTCATCGGTTTTTCCACTGTAAATGATTAATTTCCAATCATGAGAAAACCGGTAGATCAAAATCGTAGAAATTCAAATTAAAGTCTGTCCTTCTCGACATATAAATATCTTTTTCTTAGTTATATAATACATAGGCAAAAGATACACAACGGTTTAATAGAATGCCATCAGTTAATTAATTTAAGAAAGTAATATTAAAGAATAAACACAGCTAAAATAGTTTTATACATTGCAGAATATGATTGCAAAACAAAGGCTGCTTGAAAAGATAGTACATATTTTAAATCTATACAATATATGGTGTCTGTTGTTTATCCTTGTTGTTATGACAATAAAGGAGTCCAGGGGTTCCAGCAGTTCTCCGCCCTTCTGAGTCTTTTATTTTTATAAAATATATATTTGTCTATCAATAAGTTTTCTTTTGAATAATTTTGAGCGCTATCATATTGGTTTGTTCCAATGATAATTTGCTTCTATAAATATAGAATTTTGTTAACAGAATTATTAATTTTTTTTGTGTCATTTTTATCGGTTTTCGTTAGAATACCAATTAAAACCAAATCTATATTTAAAGTTAGTTCTATTTATATGTTTTCAAATATGCAGGAGTTAAGGTCTTCCCATAATTTTGATATATACGTGCAAGTCCAGAATATATGCTCTATTGTTTCGACCATAATATTTTGATGTTGTAATTTTTGCGATTTCCTGTTTACTTCGAAATACCGCGAAAATCAGATAACTGCAAAACAATACTGGTTATACGGTATTTCAATGTGTTTGATTAAAGTTCTACTTAGTAATCTTTGCTTATGATCAATGTTTACAAAAAGAGTTATTCAATAAGGAAAGATTATGTCAATGATATTTTTTTTTAATTGTTTAAGGTCATATGGGACAGTAAAAATGTAGGCCTATATAGATTTGGATTTAAGGGACTTTTTGAAGTGAAGCTGTGGTAAATATTTATGTAATAATTATTGATAAAAATTATGCAAATGTATGTGAACTAAAATAAGAATGGCATTATGAAACATTGAAAAAAGGAAGTACTTTCTTAAAAAGTAATACATTGAGATATTCGATGTTCTAATCATTTTACATAAAGTTGACAATCATCATTGTTTTCTTGGTTACCTTTAGAGACCTTTTAAACTTGTTTAAAAAAATACCTAGTGTCAATCAAAAACAGAAAATCATGGAACGACAAAACTCTAATGTCTAAATTAAAACAGAGGCATATCTGTCAGAAAATCAAAAGACTGAACATCAACAACACTACAAAAACAAGATAAGAAACAAAATTTAAAAGACTTCAAATAAACAAATACAAATATGATGCTATGATATATTGTCTGTCTTTTAATTTAATTTGATTTGAATGAAATGTTGTTGAATAAATAATTTGTCTTGTTGCTATTTTTACCATATTTTAGTGGTGATTTGTCAAACAGTATGCCATATGAACAAACCAAAAAGTCGGTTTATTCCGAACAAAAGTTTAAAAACAAAGAACCTGGAAACTATCGAAATACTTCAGAAACAATGATCACAAATGAACGTGATAAAGAGAACTACCTTTTTCCTTTATATTCAGATACATCAGGTAAGACGATTATAAAAAGACTTCTTCACTTTAAAAGTGGAAAGCTTCAACATTCGATATACAAAAAGAAGATAATCTCATGTTCTGTACATATAATCATGCCTCAAGGTATAGAATTGACCTCATGTATCTCCCGCCCATCTTTGAGACAAAAATTCAAAATTAGACGAGAAAGGCTGTTTAAACATTTCATCACAGAAAACTAATAAAAAATAAATACAGATAGTATGTATTCATTTTGTATAAAATATTTGTTTAAGATGTTTTCTAAATGAAGTTAATATGAAAAAAAATAATGACTTTTAATGCTGACAAAACGGTATGGGTTATTGTTGAATACCCTACGATGACCTATGGTTGCTCATTGTTGAATACCATACGATGACCTATGGTTGCTCATTGTTGAATACCATACGATGACCTACAGTTGTTTACACCCACGTCATTTGAACTCTGGTTGGTAGATTTCTCATTGGCAATCATACCTGACCTCCTTATTTTTTTTTTATTTATACGTTCGATTACAAGGAAGTTACTGTTGATTAAAAGATAAAAGAACAAATAGGACATCTGTATTCATTGACAATAAAATAAATTTACGGATTAATTCATGATATTTGCATAAAATGAAATGTAAAAGATTATGTTATAGCTATTTCGTATCTTTATAAAAGTCAGTGCCATTTGGGAATACCAGAACAGTTTACAATGGACGAAATATCCATCCGGAATAAATGTAAAGATTGAAAAAGCATATCAAAGGAAGAAATCAGGAAAAATCATTATCGAAATGGATCGCACAACGTTAGTATTAATGTTTATTTTGATAAACACATATTAGAATGTAAGAAGTAATCTCAACCTGACATGTGCAGGAAATGAACAATAAAAAGTGAATCACAATAAACATAATCAAATTACAGTTTGAACGAAAATTAGACGTGTAAAACATTTTAAATTCCAAATTTGGTTGGTTCAAATTAAAAACCTATAAGACATATGCTTTAAAAGAGAGAATAAAAATACCGAAGAAACATTCAAACTAATAAGTCGAAAATAAACTGACAACACCATAGCAAAAAAGAAAAAAAAAGACCAAAATACAAACAACAATATACAAAACACAACATAGAAAATTAAGGACTGACATGAACCCCACAAAAAAACCGGGGGTGATCCAAGTGCCCCAGAAGGGAAAGTAGATCCTGCTCCACAGACGATTTACTATCAGAATCATTTATATTTTGATTTTGATATTTTATTTGTTTAATAAATTATATTGAACAAATCAATATGAAAAATCGAACTTTACAGTATGTATTATACATTATCAAGAACACAAAAAATACCTGTTTCAAACGAATCACCCATGTTTCATAAATAACCATTACTAGGAACGAAAAATGAGGGAGGCAAAAAACATAAAAATCCTGGATCCTTTGAAATCCAGCTCTAAACAAATTAAACAAAACATCGAAGCTAGACTTTGTCTGAGAAGTTGCAAATTTAGTTTACGTATTATAATTGAACCCCAAAAAGACGAAAACTCAGAGTAAAAAAATGCCTATTATTTGTAACTTATGTTTATATTGAAAAAAAAAAAAAAAGAAAAAAACCCATTCCATATACATATATAGATATGATGATGGAAGTGTACTTTTTTTTTAGATACATAGTCAATTTTTCGAAAATGACACAGGAAAACGCCAACAATAAAACAGAAATGGCTGTAAGAAGAAAAGGTGAGGTTATTTTTTTTCAGTAATTGATTGTCTGATCCTTAACGCCATCTTCTGTACAGAATAACATTTGAGTGGCGAGTTAGATATTTGATAACATACATTGACCGATTAGAATGTAGGATAAACGTAAAAATATAAAGAAAACACATATTAATAAAAGGTGACGCGAAAAATATGTCAATGAGACAGCAACCTCATGACACAAAAAAACCCAAACGAATGATACCTATAGACATTTCAAACATTTACATATTGACATAATTATCATTATCAATTTTAAGAGATTTGATTGTCATAAAACTCGATTAGTTTTATTTTATCTAAACCTTTACACGAACAACAAAACAATATATGTATACAGTAGATTACTGTTTCTGTGTTTAGGCACCTCATTATTTACAATGATGGACTATTGTTCACGATACTACTATAAACCAGAAATTATAAATGATATATAATATGTTAAACAGATTACACAATTTCCATTTATAGTGCATGTGTTTGTCTTCTCCCCTTTTCAGATATTGATGAAGTTTTTTCTATAGCATTATCCTTATGTTTGTTCTTTTGTTTTCAGATTGATGACTTACTACTACAGTGACTGTAAACAATATTGTTTCTGTGCCCGCTAGAAACATGTGAAAAAAATCAAAAAGTTAAGACCACTCTAAAATAACATATTCCAACATTTTGACCCCTCAAAGCAGTGCCATTTTAAAAATTATAAATAAATAGATAAAAGTTGGCGTACTTTTGGCAAACTATTATACAGAAGCTTTTTGTTATTGAAACCTGTCATGAAGTACAGTGCATGGACATAAGTATTCGCGATTTTTTCTGAATATAACTTATATAAAACCGCGTTTTTTTTCCAAAGATATATTGGAGTCATTTCTTGTCGGATTTTAAGGAACTTGGTATGATAGAAGCGGATGCAATTTGGGGGAACAATTGATAGTTTTATGTTTTCCATACAAAATCATCGAAAAACAGTTATTCGCCATGTAACAACGATTGTTAGCTTGATTTTACTTCTTTTAGTTGATCTTACTTGACTGAGTACCAGAATGTCCTACGACAAAGTAGGTAACCAGTCGAAAATCATATACTCTAGAGTCGAAAGTAGGTAATATGAAAACAGTCTATATATACCCTCATTTTGCAGTGGCAGTCAAAATTTCCTCGACCTTTATCCCGGACGCCTCCATTACAGGACGTATTTTTTGTATTATTGTACATTCTTCTCGTCCTCAACACGAGACTAGTAGTACTACTCTTAAAATTGCATATTACAACATTTTGAGCCCTTAAAACAGTAACATTGAAAATATAGATTCTACCTCTGCATCGAGTGTGATACGATATATATCCACTCGAGACAGATAAATTTTCAAATTTAAAACGCGAGGCTCGCCGAGCGTTTTAAATATTTAAAATTTAACTGTCGAGAGTGGATACATATCGTATTACACGAGATTTGTTGGTGGAATCTGTTTCTCTAATGATTTTCTAACAATATGCAGGCAAACTTATTCCGTCTTTTCGAATGATCTGTAAAAAGATGTGTTCTTTCTATGTGACGTCATCAGGCATGGTCGCCTTTTTTCATGCCGTCACAATAGGAAATTCAGAGGAAAGCAAGTAAATTCGACGTCATAATCGGATTTTAACCAATGAAGAACTGAGATCAAACGAACCACACGTTAATTAAATTTTTTTTATACAATGGGTGCAGAAAGGGATAAATTGACGAAGAATTAGAGAAATGTTCTTATATGTGATACGGGAGCAATGCCATAAATACGAACCTGATGACGAGAATGATATTCTAGAATCATTTTCATTTTCATTCCTTTTCTTATTCAATTTAAACTAAATAATACAAAGAGAGAATGACCAATTACACTGTAAATACCACATGTAGCTTCAGAACACAAAGTTATACCAATAAGATTAACTTGGTAGTTGGAGAAGCAATTCGCACACCATTTGAGAACCCACATACATAATATTCCTTTTGAAGTATTCTCCCATCCTAAAACTTAACGGTAAATCAGATGAAAAAAAGGTAGACAATTTTGGCACTTATGTAAAATTCTTTATAACTACTTAGTTCACATTACAAAAGCCAAGCTCAATCTAGTACATGTATGAAGGCATACAGCTACGATTTTCATCATCGCCATTTAACGTTCGATAACTAAGTTGAAAGTAAGTCTTTAGTCTGAAAGAACTTGAATTTTATTTAGATGTTATTAGCTGTTATTGTCTGAATAACTGCGAGTTCTTTTAAATTGGTGCTTTGCGTCTTTTATCTTCATGTTAGTTGTTTAAGCATGTGTTTTTGCTTTCCGCCGATTTGTTGAGTCAAACCATTTCCAACTTATTCTTACAATTTGTTCTTATGTTGTGCTGTTACGTGCACCAATGTTTTTGTTTGTGGGAAAGTTTAACGATCACAAAAATGTATAACCCCGCCACGTTCTATATGTGCATGTCCCAAGTTAGGAACCTGAATTCAGTAGTTGTTATATTTGTTTTTGCGATTCTTGATTTGTCATAAATCAGACTGTTGGTTTTTCGTTTGAATTTTTCGCACATTTTGTCATGTCGGGGCCTTTTATAGCTGGAGATAAGGTATGACTGTGGCTCATTGCTGAAGACCTTACGGTGACCTGTAGCTGCTTAAATCCACGTCATTTGGACTTGGATGGTGTCTCATTGGCAATCATACCTCATCTCCTAATTTGGAATAACGTAACAAACCCATCGGAAACAAGTCCTTTCCTTAACATTAAACGACAACACAATTGCTGCAGGAATGACGGAAAGCAAAGACGACATTTCGCTTTTAGGTTATCTTATTGTAGTAATAAGGTAAGTAATAAGTTCATCAGAACTAGCATGTTATATAATACGTTACCACAAATATTGCATTTACATGCCAAATATCATCTCAATATTTGCACTGAGATCTGATTAAAGGAGGACAGAAAAAAGGCGAAATTTTCTGAGTCATGTGGTCATACTCAGGTTAGAAAAGAGAATCTTAGCAAATTCTAAAAAAAAATAGGACTTGTTCTTATACAACAAGTTTTTTTCATAAACAAAATGTAACGCGATCAACATCATAATACACATTATTTTAATCACACTCAACTCATTAAAGGATTCCGAATATCTGACAAAAAGTCAAAAACAAGATCAGCGAACATCTTTAATAAGTTAATTGCTCTTGACATCTCTCCCCTACATAATTCACCTCTTCAATTATGATCCCTAAACATATATGTAACACGTATCTTGTTACATGACTCGTGATGGTGTCCTTCAAACTTGTGAAGTATCGATTTTAGTCGTTCTTTCTCATACCTCTGGTCGAACAGTTTTTGTGTTAGGAGCACAGCCTTGTTAATGTCGTCAGTTTAATTTTGAACCTGTGCACATGAAACGTATAAATTGAGATATATGAATGTTGAAAATATAGGTGTTACGTCTGAGAAATGGTCAGTAAAAAAGAATATCAATGAAGAATGTAGCCATGAAACATATATAGCAAAAGTACTTGCTATTCAATACAGGTTATATTATAATTATAATGCTCTCATTGTATAAAGTTATGGAAGTATTAAGTCACTAAATCATTGATTTGATACAGTATGGGATGTCACACTATCAAACATAAATTCAATAATAAACACTATTGGCCAAAATTAACCAGACGAAAAGACTAGTGACAATAGTGCATCGAATATTAAAGATTGAACAATAAAAACACAACCGAAAAATTGACGAACTTTTGTTCAGAAGTGCAAGTAACTGCGAGAACAGTAAAAGCACAACAAGATTTAGACGTACAATCAAACCCCAATTTCCCATAGGACAAATATACACTACACAAATAACAGCAGCAGACGAGGTTCCTGGCTTCAGTCATTAATATTCAAATGATGTGGGAATTGTTTAACATCCAGTGACAAGTATTTCATCTATATGATTAATTATCGCTATTTTACGAAATATTCCTTTGATCTTAATGACTGATAATTTCCTTTCTCAGTACAGTCGAGTGATATGAAAAATTATAGCTAGAAAATAAGGGCGCACGTGCCCGTTGTCAATGAAATTAACAACGTCGTCACAGGTAAAATAGCGATACACAGATTATCATTGGTCATCTCAACTCGATTGCTTTTCTCACTTTCGCCGTTCCGGCTCAAGCGAGAAAATCAATCTCGTTGAGATCACCAACGATAATCTATAAATATCTTATTGTCGGCTCTTAAATCAAGTGGCTTACATTTCATGTATATTAAGGACGATATCTACACAATGTTTAGGTCGACCGGTATGAAATGTTGGGAATTGAACTGCGGCTGATAAATGAGGATATGTTGTAATTCAGGGGTTGCTGTGTGTCATTTTTGTTTTTTTTCGTTTATTGTACAGCGTAAAGCAAGCCGTTTGTTTTTCTCGTTTGAATTGTTTTACATTTTGTCATGAGTGGATCTTGAACTATAGCTTACAATACGATATGTGTTTCCTCATTGTTGAAGGTGAACTATATCATCTAGTCTCTGGTGGATATTTGTCTCATTGGCAATCATATCACATCTCACTAGTTGTATATTGATTTATCAAATGAAAATAAAACCTTATAAATTTCCTGTGTCCGGAGCTATTTTATGGATCTACCTTCTTCAGGTACTCTTATCCCAAATATTTGAAATTCAATGATGTATAAATGCGTCAAAACGTCAGGAGCTATGTGACAAAAAAAAAAGACATAAAAAGAATTGCAAAATTCATCTAAATTCAACTTTGCATGAGGAAGTTGGTTTTCTTATTTTCTTAGTTTCAAAGGTAAATAACTTTGAGCTCGCTTTCAGTATTTGCGATTAATTTTTAATAAGGCATTGTATTGTATTGTTTTAGTTTTAATACTATTTCATTTTTATTGTATTTCCGCCATGTAGTATCCTTGGTCCTACCGATAGAGATTAAAAAGTTAACTAGGAAAAAAGCTAAGCTTGGTTCTTCCTAACAAAGTGCTCCTAAGGGAAGGCTGTTCACGCATTTCTATCTTTGGATTACAACATGCTTTATTGTCATTAATTATTGAATTGTATTATCTTTTTTTTACATATTTTATTTACCCCCTAATATTTTCTGCACCTTTTTCTTTGTTCTAGTATGCTGGAATTTTCTTCATCAATATTTTTAAGTGCAAATGACCAAACCTATAACTCCTATAATATTTCCTGATAAATTCTTCATCCTCGTGTCTCTTTTACACTTTTGTTTCCTCTCACAATGAAAGTAGTCACGTTTAGTAGGGTGCCCAGTGTCCAAAAAGTCCTCTAGTGAACGAGTTTAAGTTAACGGAATAACACACGGCTAATTTGTTTTTGCAAATTAAAGGAAAATCATTATATTTTACAATCATGATTGTCGTCGTAATTTCCTGTGGTCACGATTTTTTAAATTTCGTGTTTTATAGGGTACCCCCAGATACAAATTGTACGGGGAATTTCAAATATGAAAAATAAAATTATTTCGCTCTTTGTTGGTGGTTGAAATAGTACTTATAATATAGTTTATGTATTAAATATATCAGATAACGAAAGCGGAAAGTATTTAAGTGATTTTATTTTAAGTATTTCAGCATTTCAGTAAGACTAAAATTTTACCCTAAATTTACCACATTTTCATCGAAAGCAAAATTATTACGTATATCATCACAGTATGTTTTACTCTGATTAAAGCAAT